GATAAAATAGTTTTTGAAGTGAGTAGTCACAGCTAGGCATTAAAATACTAGACAACTGGATATGGTTGTATAGAGCCCAAAAGTCTTCAACAGTATCAAACTTAGAGATCAATCGAAGGTTTGCTTGCCAAATTTTGCTTTTATCATTTTTAAAAAAACCACAGTGCCCACCTGTTCTGTAGAGGATGTTTAATATAGTGCTCTGGGTTAGCAACCTCCTGATTAGATTCTGTTTTATCCTCTTCCGTAGGTGGGGGATTAGAAGTAGGAGTGGTTTCCGGTTCCACAGTCGCCATCTTAGATCGATCTCATCATTTCTTATTTTAAAATGCAATAGAAACATAAATTTTAAATGTTATAACATTGACATTCAATAGACTGATCCTTCTTTGGGTGTGCAGTTTTGAGTTTAAACATATGTATAAGCCCATGTAGCCAGCACCGCAATAACAATGTAGAATAGTTCTGACATCCCCCGAAGTTCTCTTGTACCGTTCCTTATCGAGCCTCATCCTTAACAGCTGCTAATAAGGTCTTTGTTGCCGTAGGCCTGCCTTCCTCAGAGTATCATATGGATGGGATCAGAGATTCATCTAAGTGGTTGTATATATCAATCGTTCTTCCTTTTTCTTTTGGACTAGTATTCCACTGTGTGGTTATACCACAATGTGTTGACCCTATGAAGAACATTTAGATTGTTTGTAGTTTTAGCTGATTATGAACAAAGGTGATCTGAACATTTGTGAGCATGCTTTTGTATGGTCATAAATTTTTATTTCTTTAACTACATTATAGAAATGTGGTTGTTGAGTCATATATTAAGCATACATTTAACATTTTAAGAAACTTCCAAACTGCCAAGCATGGTGGCACATGCCTTCAATCTCACCACTCCAGAAGTAGGTGGACCTCCCAGGCTAGCTGGGCTACCAGGAGATCCCATCTCAAAAAAAAAGGAGAGAGATGGGGAGAGAGAGAGAGAGAGAGAGAGAGAGAGAGAGAGAGAGAGAGAGAGAGAGAGACTGTCAGAATGGCAGTATTTTTCATTCCTACCCGCAGACTGTGCTATGCAGTGGTATGGGGTTGTGAGGAGATCCCCTGTGGCAGAGAAAGTGCCTATAGGTCCTTCATAACAGCATCAAGAGAATTACCCAAGTTTTGCTTGCTTTATATAGATTATGAGTTGCATTTTGGGAGGATAGATTTAGCTACAAAGTGCTTAAAAACCATTACTATGTCTGGCGTTGCTGCTTGAGCGTGGCATGTGATGCACAGGCATTCATTCCCTGGAGCAGACGAGCTGGTGCTAAGGGACTCCGTACATGGAAGGCTGTGAGAAGAGGAGTCCCTCAGCCTTTTTTTGTCTATTTGAACATGTCAGAGAGGTCCTTATTTAAGTGTGGTAGGGTGTTAGCATTTTCCAACACAATTCATACCTTCTTTTGTAGTACAAAGGGGGACACACCTGGCAAGCAATCATCCACCTGGAGTGACTGAGGCAAACAAACAGCTGTGCTTTTATTGCCTTGATGATTATCTTCTCATTTAGGACAAGCACCACTGGTTTTTCCGTTTTTCTTTAAAGTGCATATATTTTACATTTTAAACAAATGAGTCAATTTAAAGAAAAATGTCATGTAACTTGTACAGAAGTACAGCATGAATCCCAAGGACAGGTTGGAGTGGCAAGCTCAGGAAGCTCTGAAACTAGGGGCACTGATCATTTTGAAGGACCTGGAAGTTAATTCCTGGCACTGAAGAGCCCCTGGTGGAGCATGTGGCTGTCTCCTGGCTTATGTTTCATGAGCTCATCGTGTGTATAGTTGTCATCTCTTAGAAGAGTCTTCCATTGCTCTTTGTATTTGCAGTGCCCATTTTTCAAGTTTCTTTTTCATTCATTGATTTATCAAATACTAAAAGTCATTGTGTGATAAATAGGACTGTAGTAGCAAACTGAACAGACAGTATCCTATGCTTTGGTGAAACTGTCCTCTTAAACCCATCCTCTTCCTCTCTTGGGCTGTTCACAGTACATGAGAAACAAAGCCTGCTGTATAAAATTGAAATGACCATAAAGGAAAGAAAGGGCTCCAAGATGTTTTGAAAAAATGTTTTATTTTCACTGCATTTGGAGCCACGCATGTATCTGTTGTCCTTTGTGGTCCTCGGTGTGAATAATGTGTACCCACAGATGTGGTGGTACACCAGAGGACTGTTTGAGGCTGCTTCAGTTTTGTGAAATGGGGTGTCCCAGACTACAGGCAGGGCTGTTGTGACTTTCAACACTCACATTAGACATCTTTTAGATTATAAAACTGAATGTTGGCAGCTCATTGTATTTCTTATTTGGACTACATTGTATTTAAAGAATATTAGTGGGTTTCTAGCATATGCAGACCCAGGAGTATTCATATATAATCCTCCCTGCCAATAGATTTTGTTGTTGTTGATTTTGAAAATTCCTGACTCTGGCTTTCCTGAACCATCTTCTCTGAACAGCAGGGTTGGCAGGAGCCCAGTCACAACCATGTTTTGACAGCACATGTCCTCTTCAGGTAACCTCCGCCTTACTCATTCCTGTTATCTGTCTGTCCTAGTGGGTATTGGAATTTGTGACCCCTGGTTTCTGGGTTTCATGTGCTGGAACTGTCTCGAGAAGGTAAGCTTCCTCTCAGGACTGGAGGGCTGAGAGCACTGGTTCTGTGGAAGCTGACTGTCCCTGGGCTTCTTCTCCCAGGATCATGCATGTCACACTGGACCTAGGAGGCACAAATCAGGGTCCTGGTTTAATTGTGGACCCTTTACAGTAGAAATACTGTCTGCTGCCTTACCTGTGTGTCAGAGGTTTCCATTCTAGGCATCAGAAACAGATGCTAGTGAGTTTAAAGAAATGGGCTTTATTAAAAAGATTTGACCAACTCTGATGATCAGAGGAACAAAGAATGCTCTGATAGGATACTCAGGAAACCAGGGCATGTCAAAGGCCAGGGGTGCTGGGAGCTCAGGTACTTGATAAATTGCCTCTGAAGATTTTACTCCCTTCTTCATCATTCCTCCTAAGAATATAGAGTCCTGGAAAAGAGAGTTGGGCTTTCCTATAAAGGAGTCTGAGTGCTCTTGCTAGACAAAGTGGTTGATATAGACAAGAGTTGATATAGACAACAGAAACAACAGATACTCCCTGTATCCCTTCTTGGGCTGGTCATGAAGATAGTAAATATGCACTGCAGAATGCCAGAGAAGAGTGAAGAGGTGGATTTCAAGTTACAGGAGAACCAGATTATGAGTATGCTCTAAGTAAAAATGTACATCACACACAGAAGAAAGTGGTTTCATTTCTTCTAACCCTTGCTTTGGCCCATCCATTAAAGAGTTATAATAAATAATTTGTAATAAATAATAGTTTTAGTAAATTCAAAGGAAAAGACAGTTTTATTTTCATCATACATATTTTTTTTAACGGTTCTTTTTTTTTTCTGGCCCTGACCGCAACTGGGTCAGGGATGAGCCCAGGCTGATTGCTGCTCCTCACAGGGCCCAGGCTCCTTTCTTTGTCATTCAGCCTGGGCCCTCATCAACTGATGCTGAGCCCGGGCTCAGTTCCATTGAGGGGACTTGCTTGTGGTCAGGAATGGGCCCGGTTCATCATATTTTTGACACCATCTCTAAATATGTGCCTTGTCTTCTAGTTTATAGATTTTAGTAAACTAATAGCTATGGATGTTATAGAATCCCTAAAGATTGCACACTAAATTAAAAATAATATTCATAGGGCTGGTGAGATGGTTCAGCAGGTAAAGGCTGTTGCCATCAAGCCTTACAACCCAAGTTTAATCTCTGGGACCAACATGGTAGAACAGAATCGACCTCTGAAAGTTGTCTTCTGACCACCACATTTGCACTATAGCGTGTGTATACACACACACACACACACACACACACACACCAAAAGTAAATAACTAAATAAACGTGTCTGGAGAGATGGCTCAGTGGTTAAGAGCACCTGCTGCTCTTGTAGAGGTCTCTCGTTTGGTTCCAGCACCTACATGAGGCAGCTCATAACCAACTGTGATTCCAGTTCCAGGGGACCCAGCAACCTCCTCCTGTACTTATGTACACATACCCACACGCAAGCACATACAAGTACACATAATTAAAAATCTTAAGGGGCTGGAGAGATGGCTCAGTGGTTAAGAGTACTGGCTGCTTTTGCAGAGGACTTGGATTTGTTTCCAGTACCAACATGATAGCTAACCACCATCCTCAACTCCAGTTCCAGGGGATCTGATGCCCGCTTTTGTCCTCTGTCGGCATTGTATGCACATGGTACACCTATATACGTATAGACAAAACACACACATAAAATTTTTTAAATTTTTAAATCTTAAAAAAATAAAACATTTAAAAATAATGTCACATATTTTAAAGATGTTCATTGAACTATAGTGATTTTTCTGATTTTTATGCCCTTCTTTCTTTATTAGATCTTGATTTGCAACAAGCCAGGAAAATGAAGGACACCCTGCCCCCAGCCTTTGGCATGGGTAGAAATTGAAAGTAACAATTCCAATGAGAGAGGCCTTGCAGGAAGCCTAGGCTGGTGACAGAAACAGAGGGAAATTCAGAGTCTGCTCTTTTTGAAAACAGCAAAACAACTCAAAATGAAGAGTATGTGAAAATCATTTCTAATAATAGCTCATGGTAGGCAATTCCCAGGGGGAAAAAATCGTTGGTGTGCTGAGAAAATGGGAGCAAGAATGTATGGTGTCCAGACGCGTTTCTCTAGGCTATGGTGCTTTGGAGTTTACCCCATGTGCCATGTACATTGATTAAACACAGAATATATGCTGGCCATTTTTGACCATCATTTACCGTATTGATTTGTTAGCAGGGGAACTGTAATAAAAAAGCCATTGATTTACTGTCCTGATTTGCTTATGGGCTTTTTTTATTATTAATTTTTCACTTTTTCTTTCTCTTTTGGGGATCATTTCTTCCAGACAAATGCTGTGCTTCGTGAAGTTAAAAGAGAGGGCCTCCCAGTGGAACAAAGGAGTGAAATTCTGTCTGCCGTCCTGGCCTCACTCACCATGCGCCAGAACCTGAGGAAGGAGTGGCATACCAGGTTAGTGCTGCTGCGAGACAGGCTTTGCTGTCCCTGAGAGACAAGAGCTACGCTTGGCTAAGCTCCTGTCTCCTGCTGGTCTGTCCCTCTTGTTGAGGGGCCATAGGAAATGAGCAAGTTGAAGACATTTTTCAGCTAAAGTTAGCTTTCCTGTCCATGGTGACCTCATTGATTGTAATGATCCCTGACATCACCCGTGTTGTATATAAGCTCTCCATGGGTGTAACATTTAGCTTGCATGCTTATATCTTGAGAATAATTTAATCTAAGTGCCTCATGCCAAAGTGCCCTTTCCAATCAGTAGTCTAAAGACTAGCCTTGCTATTTAGGTAGGCAGATGCCTGTGAAGTCCACAGAGTATGCTCTGTCACTGTAGGCGGAAAGACTACTTGGAAGTAGTCTATTTATCAGCCTCATTTTTAGAACTGATCAAGTAGAAATTATTTTTGCTTCAACCCAGTTTCTTTCTGTATGGAGGTACATGTGGTTGCATTCCTGTCACTGGTGGGAAGTTTGTATAAGTCATCAGTTCTTATAGAACTGGGGCTTGCAGGGTAAATGTAGTGTTACCCCGCTCCTTTCTGAAGAACAACTGGTATGTGGTAGGTTGTATTGAACTCCTCCAAATATTGGAATTACCCTTTTACATGCATAGCTGCTAAAAATTGTCATCCATCTCTATGCAAGAGGGAGAGGAGTCAGAAAACTGCACTGTACCTCCTTTCATAGTCTTATTTGCTGAGTGCCTCGGAGTCAAGACCATTTTTATTGATAGCTGTAATAGTCACTAACACTTTGTACAACAGATTTTACAGTAATTGATAGCTTTACTAGCAATAATTATCATAAAAATAGGTTCATCTGACAAGGCTGAAGACATGAGCATTTTCCAAGAAAATCAGACAGTGTGAGCTATTGATTTTCATTGGGTATCAGAACACTGCTTCCTCAAATGGTGTGTGTGCTTTATTTATCATTTATTCTCAGTAATTAAAATTTTAGTCTTCTGCCGGGCGTGGTGGTGCACGCCTTTAATCCCAGCACTCGGAAGGCAGAGGCAGGTGGATCTCTGTGAGTTCAAGGCCAGCCTGGTCTACATAGTGAGTTCCAGGACAGCTGGGGTTACAGTTTTGATTATTATATTTATTAAAGTATATATTTTATTAAATGATGAAATGTTGACCTTGGGGCATGAGAAAAATTTCTTTATGTTTGCCACACTCTTCCTCCTGGTACTACTAATTAAGTCAGAAAGGAAGACGAACCCATTTCCTTGTAATCTCTCTCCCACACCCTTCCCTCTAAATTCAGCATGGTACAGAATGCTCGCACATTGAGAAATAGCTGTCTTTTGTTGAGTGCGTATAGTTCATTAACAATACTTTCCTGAGACACCAAATCATCAGATGATGTGGCCAAGATTGCCTGTTTAAAAGGAGTCTGGCTTCAGTGTTTCTGGCCCTTACTGCTAACAGTTTAATCAGGAGCTGGAGCCAGTGTTGAAGTTGATGTAGTCTACCATCTGAAACAGAAATTCTCAAGTCCTTTGTAGCAGGGGAGGAGCAAAGAAAGTGCTTAGCCGCTGACACTGTGCAGACCCCTTAAAACCAAACACCTGAAAGAAAATTTCAAGACAACGATGTCTTGAGAGCTCTGAAGGCAAAGTGTCCTCAGAGTATTAAATAACCGTAATCCTCCCCCACCTTCTGCTCCCCCATTTGATGTTTCCTGTCTCGGTGCCCTGTCTCAAAGCTTCATCCGTATGAGCCAGATAAACAGACGTCACCATATCACTCCTTCCTCATCAAAGCATCACCCGGCGTCTGACATAGGCTGGGCCTTGCATAACCGTCTAGTAGGCAGTGGTAAAAGTTATAAAACATCCTGGCCAGTGCCGCTCTCCTGAGATGCCTGGGTTTTAAAGACGGGCCTATTGTGTACTTTAGAATTACACGAGGAAAAATGTGCTTTGACAGAAAATAATTAGCACTCACTAGAGGCCAAGCAATAGGTTATAGCATTTTACTTTCATCAAAGCTATCAGGGGATCAGTCAGATTAGATAATGGAAACTTTTTTCTTCTGAATGTTACATATAGATGACTCTAATTATCTTATATTGAACATCAGAGAATGCATTATGAACTGTACAACTTCAAGAAGTTTAAGGTCAGCTGAGACTCCGCAGCTGGCAGTAACTTCGAAGTAAGTCCACCATCATAAGCCCTTTCTTTAGCAGGTTCATCTATGATCATGATCTCAAGAGAATATTTTCAGTGAAACTTGTAGTTATAAAATCTGTTTCCCTCGCTCAGGCCAGGAATAGAGCCATTGTCTGGGACTCACTGCAGTCTTTGAAACTAAAAGCATATGTTCCTCACAATTTAACTTCTTGAGGAAAGTGTCATTTCCGCAGTGACTTAGGGTAACCGAGTTTGTCACAGTGTCACATAAGACTGAGATTCTAGAGGCACATCTGAGTACTGTGGGTTTGCTTCCCCACACTCAGTAATCCCATAAACAGCCCTCTCCAAATAGGCTTATTAAGGCTGTCTATTCACTTCCCAAGAGTTGAATGATCCAGAATGCATCGGCAGTGCTGTGTGAATGTGGGGTAAGTGTTAACAGAAGTGGTACCGAATTTCTGAAGATTTGCCTTTGTTTATACAGTCCACTCAGCCTGATGGACAGCTTGTTATAGCTTTTAAAGAACTGGGCAAGCCCTCTGGTCTGACCCCTTCTTGACCTCCACAGCCCAAAGGTCAGTCTGCAGCTAATAAAATCTGAGACTCTTAGGGTCTACTGTAGGAACAGGCAGAAAAAGAGCAGCTGCAAAGACTGGGTATCCCAGGATCGGCTGCTTTGGGGTCAGTGTCTGATAATGAAAATGATTACCAAATTATATGGAAGTTTAACCGCAATAGTGAGAGAGAGGAGGGTGGAGCCCAGCGTATTAGGTTTGATAAATGAACTGTGAAGAGGCCCATCTGGCTCTCAACATCTTTTCTCCCCCTCTTTCCCTACCAAGGGGAAACATTTTAAAATAACAGCAGTACATATAGGCTCAATGACCCATGCACGGAGCTGGAATGGATTAAGATTTAATGGTGACAGTGGAAGGAATTATCATTTAAAAAGTATACCCAAGTGAAGGTACAGTTCAGTGTCTACTATGCCTGACTTGTTTCTCTAGGTAAGATATAAAAATCAGTGCCTTTGTTTATTTTATACACATCTCCAGCATCTTGCCTAGATTGTTGAAAAATTTCAGGGCATTGATGGCATAATTACTCACCTTCACCTTCAGGAATGAAACAGACCCCCTTTGCCTTGCCTATGTCAGAACCAAAGTTTTGTTTCTGCCTGCTTGCTCAATTTTAGTGATCTAGGTTAATCAAAATGTTAGAGAAAATGCTTTACAATGAAAACCAACATGTGGAGTCCGTTCCAGCATCTGACTCTTCACACTGGCTCTGTGCATGACTCACGGGCACTGTTTTATTCCAACCACAACCTGGCAGTTTTTCTGGGAGAAGATGCACTATTTGTCAAGTGAGTGAAGTTTGTTCCCTAGTCTTCCATGAATGTGCAGTGTCCTAAATTCAGGCTTGGGCTGCTGAGGACCAGAGAGCTCTGTTATCTCTGTAGAGATGATGAACACGTCACGCCTCTTTCAGAGACAAAAATGTTTTTATTCATTAGGCATCTGTTTGTATATTTGTATACTTAACTATGTGGGAAATATTGCATGTGATGTTGTGCATCTGATGGAGTGTGCTCTGTGGCCAGTTTCAGGGCTTTTCTGGGGATGAGAATGTCACGGGTTCCTAGAAAGAGGCAGTCGAAAGCAGTCAGAGGAGCCACTGCCGCCACAAAAGTGGAGAACTGCTCTGACCTGCTTAGCGAAATGTTTACTCAGCCAAGTATGTAATCATGCAGGTTTTAGAAGACTAGAATTGAAGGCTCGGCACTGAGTTGCGTTGTCTGCATAATAGAAGCCTTGCGTAGACTGTAATCATGTTAAAAATAGAAAGGGAAAGCTTCTAAACATTACCCAATGCTAGCCTATTTTTCATCCTTGGTTTTGACTTGACTGTATATATAGGGGAGAAGGGGGAGCAAACAGAAAGTCGGGTGAAGAAGGCCGAGGAGCACTTGCAGAATTAACTGCTTTTCACCATGAAGCAGCACCTTTACTTTTTGCTATGTGAGATGCAAGCACAAAAGACAAAAACAAGCTCATTAGAGGCTTTAAAAAAATGAGTTATAATCCCAATAGCATAAAATGTCGTCTAAGCTAAAGCCCATCATTCTGAAGTATGGTGAGTGGTTTTTGAGGCATCTATACAAGGCTGTGCCGTCATCACCACTGTCTGAGCACAACACATTCTCTTACCCAGGAACAACACCCTGGTGTCTGGTAATCACTACTCTCAATTTTCCCTTCTCCCCAAAGTCTTTGGCAACCACTAATTTACTATCTGTATCTATAGATTTCCCTATTCTGAACAATTTTGTAAATAGCGCAGATTTGGCTTCTTTCGTTTAGATAATGATTTCAGGGGTTTACCTGTGTAATAACATGTAAGTACGTCATTCTATTTATTTATTATTTATTTATTTGTTTGTTTTTCATTAGTGTATATGAGCGTTAAGCCTGCATGTGTGTACGTGCACCTGTGTCGTGCAGTGCCCACGGAGGACAGAAAAGGGTGTAGGATCTCCTGGAACTGGAGTTATGGACAGTTGTTAGCTGCTACGTGGGTGCTGGGCGAACCTGGGTCTTCTGCAAGAACAGCCGGTGCTCTTACCTGCTGAACCATCTCTCTAGCCCTAACTTCATTCTCCGTAATGCTAAATAATATTCCTTTGTATGAATATGCCACATTTTACCTACTTAGCTATCAGTTGATGGATATCTGGGTTGTTTCCATTTGGGGCTGTGCTGAATAACACTCATCTGAATGTTCATGTGCATATTTTGATAGAAGGTTATAAAAG